ATATTACACATATTTAAATATACATATATTTAAATCTTTCTTTATACTTATTTTATAATTAGTAATTAAGAGCAAATTAAATATTTATTATTTAATTAATTAATTAATTTTAATTTAAAAAGACGCAGAAACTTATCAACTTTATTATATCAAAATATTTAATATAAAAGATCGGTAAATGTATTATGTTCTAAATATTAGGTTGAACCAAAAGTATTACATTTATGCATAGAACAAATAAAAAATTAACGGACCAACCTAAAAATTCTACAATGTTGTTGCACGCAATTGCGAAGATCATCTGAATAAAGCATGATTCTGTTCAAACGATACGTCAAGATTTCAAACTGACTGCAAATGTGTACCATCATTCCACAGATGAGACCGTCGCAAGCGGCGTTCAGCAAAGCACCCACAATCAAACCTATCAGTTGATGAATGTATAACAGACAATATAAGGTCATAGATGAATATTCAAACGGCACCCACGCTCTGAACGTCAATTTTCTTTCGCCAAAATTCGTCATCAAGGATGTAAACGTAATACTAATCCACGTTATCAAGCACATAACTGCATAGTGAAAAGTGTTAAGCCTGTAAAATAACTATAAATGTATTTACTTTTTCTCGCACTATATATATAATTTTTTGTTTAGAGAATATGAGAAACATCTTTTTACTTATATTAATTTTTGCATAAAAATATTGAATAAAATAATAAATTTGATTAAGAAAAATTTTACTTAAAATAATAAATATAAAGCTAAAAATAAATTGACTTTTAATAAATTTAGAGAACTTGCAGAAAATGTAATTGAACCGTACGTTAACGTATTTTAAAATAATAATTTTTTAATGATATTAATATGTAATAGTAGTATTTTTTAATTATTGTTTGCTAATTACTTGCTACTTACTGTATTCCTTTATCGAATTTATAATGAATATTTATTTCTTTCGGTTTCAATGGTTTGCATGGTTCCTTTGTCAGAATATTGGTCAATTTAATAATGCTTTTGCGATTTGCTAATAAACTGAACAATTTAAAGCAAGTTATAATCATAGGAAGTAATATGCAAAAGTTGTCGCAGAAATCGTCTGTATTATCCACGATAAGAATTATATCCACGAATTGCGACAGTACAAAACTATTTACTATCAGAATTATTAGTATCGTGTACATTCGATACATTATACGTTTATATATCGACGTCCAAGATTCCGGCTGCCAGCAACCACATATTGTTAGTACTTTAAAAGGAAATTCCAACACATTCATTTTGAAATTCTTCTCTTCAGCATTGTCCATGACGTGATAATAACAATAGACAATAATCGAATAAATTTAGCAATATCTCGCTTTTCCAGTGAACAACTATATGTTACGTATAACTGAGAACTTACTTTATTAAAAAACTATTTTGCTAAGTTTGGATAAAGAGAGCAATCGAGATGATTAAAATTAAAATTGGTACGATATTATGGAAAAATTTTTTTATACACAGATATAAAAGAAAGACATGGAATACAATTCATAGAACAACTGACTCGAAGGTCTATAATTTCTGCTACTCTTCTTCAAGATAATGGCATTTTTTTCGCAGTCGATAATCTTTTTATTCATTTAGCAGCAATGTCCCTTGCAACATAGTATTCTCGTGAATCAATAATGAAGCAAAGTTTGCACGACAATTTTTGAGTGCATATTTCCCCGTTAGAGACACACAGATGGATATAAAAAAAAGATATTTAAAAATTAAATAGTCTCTTATAATACACATTTCTGTATAAAATATTCATATAGGCAAATTATACTTCTGCAAAGAAAACATTTGATTTAACGCTATACACCGCAGTATTACATCAATCTTTTTTTACGTATTGACCCCAGTCGCTAAATTTCTAATAAAGACTTCAAAGTGCATGAATATTTATGATATCAATAATATCGATTGCGAGTAAGACATATATATACAATGCGATAAAAAAATTCTACAAAATATAAACTGTCATATTATTTGATTACTAATACTATACAAAAATATAAAAATAGAATATATTAAAATATATAATATACTTTTATATATAAAAAATACTATAAAACACGAAGAAAATACAAGTACGTACTCTTTGTGTTTATTCATTTGCTCTTTAAAAAGTTATTAAAGTCTATTATCAGTCTATTATAGCTTTTACTGCATTGTCATGAGTCGTTTGGGAGGGTACTTATTGTCAGCTTTCCTTTCAGAATAAACCTTTCAGGTACTGACCCTTCTTACTAATGTCAAAGTATACCCGCGCGCCTTTTGTGGGAGGATTGTGTTATATATTATATAATTTTGTAATATAATACATAATTATATAATATGCATTTGTAATATATTTTATAATTGAAACATTATATATATATACTTATATATCGTATTTTAACATATGTAAATGAATAAATGTACAAGTTAAAAATAAAAATAAAAATATTTGCGGATTACAATATTCGAGAATATTATAATAAATTTATGTGAAAAATACTCTGCTTCATAAATTTCAAATTAATTATCTATTAAATAATAAATATTTAATAATTTGTAATATATATTTAAGCTAAATATTTTCTGTCTTTTTGCATTTTAAATTAAAATGATAATCGATTGAAGGTCAACATTGCACATATAAAAAGTCTCTAACGTTTATTTAAAAAAAAATAATTTATCTTATTTTGATCAAGAGAAACTATTTGTTTAATTTATTAATTTATTAATTTATTTATCATTTTACGCAAAATTTTTATATTTTGAGAAGAGAATTTCTTTTTTTGAATATATATTTGAGATTTTCTAATTGCACTTTATTAAATAATATATAGTGTAAGGAAAAAATAGTGCGCGTGTAATGCGCGCTTTGTAATATTCTAATAAGACAATAATGTGAATCTAACTTTTACTCTATTATTCCTTCATTTGTTGAAGCAAGTTGTAAGCTGAATATGATGTCTTAAGAACCTACAAAATAAATACAAGCATAATCTTTTATATTTATGCATTGATATGTTCGATATAATCACGTCAATGATAAAGTATGACAAAAATATATAAAATATAATAACTTTATAATATTTTAATCTTGATTGGTTATTATAATATAATTAAATTAAATTAGATTAACTGGAGATTTTATTATATTTTATACTATTAATGCAATTATTTTGAATATATAATGAATGCATCTTTGCGAACTGATTAACATATTTTCATTAAAATACAAAATCAAGCTTATGCAAACTAAAAACTAGAATTTTGCTGCCAAAATCAGTTTCAATCACATATCTGATATTTTTATACTTACATTCACAAATGAATCAAGATCTACAGAGATAGTATAGGCACTGGTAATTTCAATAGGTATTAATGTACGCTCCATCATTATTATTAAAGATTTTTTCAAATTTTTGTCCAAAGTAAACCATTCTATTTCGAAAATGTTATCTATAAATTGGATGCTCTATTCAAATATGTAAGATATGAAAAAGTTACTTTTTTTTAAATGTTCTTACTTACATTTTTATAAAAGAACTTCTAAAATCTTAAAATTATATCTGGATATATTAACATATAAAAAAAATTATATAATAATTTTTACAGTTAAAAAGATTAATTCTAAGAGAGATTAAAATATCCAATTAAAAATAAATATTTATTGATTTTTTACGTATCTTTTAATTTTTTATTGTATTTTAATTTCAAAAACTAATATAAAACTTAAAAATTTATTTATTACATTTACACCATATATTAATAAATATAAAGATGTAAAAAAATAAGAGTTAAAAAAATAAAAAAGTTTGAATATTAAAATTGTTATGCTAATGAAAATTAAACTTGCACCTTTAGTTTGACTTGATTGCCATACCAACAATAGACAAAAATTTGTGTTAGCATACAACCCATGAATAATGCTAATCGTATACATCTTGCATCCAATTTTGAGAGACTTATTACGTAAAGATTGAAGCATACCACAAACATACTCATTAGAAATTGAATAGTAATAACCATCCTAAAATTTGCATTAACAAGAAAAGCCAATCTGAAACAAAATTAATAATAAGCAATATCTATAATGATGCGGAATAAAAATAAAAAATATATATTATATTTTTTATTATACAT